CTGAGCTCTGTTCTACACCCTTTCTCTAAGCTCTGTTTGACACCCTCCCACTGAGCTGTCTTTTAAGCACCTTGGGGGCACAGAGACCTGCACAAATCACGGCCCCCATCAGGACACACTCGTTTCATCTGCGGGCTGCAGTATTTCACCAGGCAGCGATGTGGCTACCCCTACACTCCTTCATTCCGCTGTCTCGAGCCATCAGCGGGGTTCCGGACTTTTCTTAGTACCCCAATGACAAATTTAGTAAGAAAGAAAATAAAACAATGATGATAATGATAAAAGGAGAACACACCATTATAAATAAGGACGGACTGACCTTTCCAGCCGTACTGCGGTGATTTTCAAGAGGCAAAGGGCTGCATTTTACTGTGAACGTCGACTTCTTAAAGGTCTTATTATCCTTCTCCATACTCTTATTTTAATTGCGCTAAAAGGCAGAGATGCGTTTTTCCCAAAGTAAACAGGAGCTGCCCTGGTGCTCAGTGCGTCACAGTGGTATTGGCATGACCTCCCTCACAGAGGAACACGCTGTGCTGGGCTGTGCAGATACTGCAGCTCCAAGCCTTTGACACATACATTAAAGGGGCACTCAGTACATTTAAATGAAGCCACTTTTAATAGTTTGGCCAAAACGGGGCAGGTGCCCCCCACCACCCAATCCACTCACCCACACGCATGCTTGGCACTGTGCCTACGTCCAAGCACAGTTAAAAAGGAGACGGCAAGCAGCATGATACCAGCTGGGGATTTACAATATCTTTACACTCTCTTTAAACAAATGATAAATGTCTCTCTTTGTGTCTGACTAATTCTCTCTCCATAAAATAACATTGCAGGGTCCCATATTGCCTGATAATGAGCGACATAAACTTTGCTTTTTTCTCCGTAGACATAAAACCCACAAACATCTGGCGCAGTGTAACAGTGTAAAATGAATCATAATGACTGATTTACCAGTGTGATGGATTTAAAAAAATGGCCTGGAATTTTGTTAATTAAAAGGTAATAGCACCAGTGCAATTATATTTGTTGCTGCACATCTGCGATTGAGTGAGGACAGGACATTAATGTTCAGACAGAGAGAGAAAGTTCTCCAAATGTTCAGTCACTGACCAGGTGCTTTTGATATGAAGTATAACATGATTTTACTTAACAGAGGCTGGCCCTGAGTGTTCTGGCACACGAGGCGAGATGCTGCTGACTAGTGTAAATAAGTGTAACGTCGTGGAACGTGACCAGAGTTATTCTAATTTTTTTTTCTCTTGCTCCTTTGCGCCCCCTAATGAAACAGCGCCCTAGGCGGTCGCCTATAAGGAAGGCTCCCTGGATCCAAGGATCTTCAGTAGGATTCGGAGGGACTGACGATGTTGGTTTCCGCAGCCCTCTAAGTAACTCCATCCTAAAAGCTCATTTATTGGAGAAGATTTCTGTCAGGTTCTAAGTTGGAGCACTTGAGTCTCCAAGGAAAGGTGACATTCCTGTGGTAGGAATTCCTGCAGCTTGTAGACCCAAATTCTGAATGCATTGGTTGACCTTTACTGGAGCTGGAATTATAATAGATTTCCACTTCCA